ATATATATATATATATATATATATATATATATATATATATATATATATATATATATATATATATATATATATATATATATATATATATATATGTATACGGATGCAATATCGAGTAGAACTGAATTAATTATATTAGGCAGACCCTCGAAAACCATTCCAATTTCTCATGTGGACCCCTGGACTCGTGTCACTCGTGTTCTAATGTAGTTTGAAAGATGACAATTTTAGAATATTTTTTAACCACATTTTTTTTTTTCCAAATCTTTTACAGACCGAATTACAATACTTGGAATTTGCATCGCCACTACTTTCGGGGAATTATCGTTTGGTCGAAATTAATCCAGTATTAGCTGATCGAATAATGGCCGGTGAACAGTAAGCATTTTTAGGTCTCTTCACGAAAATAAAGAAAAAAAGAATTTGTTTCTGAAGGTTTTTCTTCGACATAAAATAAGGAATGACAAAACAGTGAAATTTAATAGAGAAAAAAGAAATTTATGTAGTTCTATGTATCTAAAAGTTATTTCAGGCTTGTTATTCGCGGCGATCAAGAAGACGGTGCTGTTTTGTGTACCCATGATGCTACATTTGATGTAAAGGAAGTGGCAACATCAAATGTATTATTACTTTTGCCAGAGTTTCACTTTAACGATGAAGCGAATGCTAATAAAAGCATTAAAACGGTTCGAAAGGTACTGTTTTTCTACTATTGTCCTTGGAATTATTTTTGATTTGAATTCTTTGAATTTACTTTTAATTAAAACGAAATCCTTGGTAAGCTTAAATTACTTTGAGTTGCTTGGATATTGAAACCATCTAGTGGGGGAACGGGTTTCCTTCTAAAAATATTGTTTTTCTAGGTCATTGGTTTAAAAAATAATTTTCTTGAATTACGACAAATGTCCTATGTGCCAGTTCAGCGATTGAAAGAAAAGCTCCATGAGGGTGAATTGGAATGGGATGATGAATTTAATAACGACAATAAGTTGTAAGTAATGATATTGCAGTGGTTCAAGTTATAGTCAGCCAACATCATTAGTCACTTGAAGGACCTTGCGTCTAGGGAGTTCATGTTACAATCTTCAGAGGGTTTGTGATATTATCAGCTGATTTTAAAGTGACCGATGACTAATAAATTTTAGGTGTATGTGGCTTTTTTTATTCTTTATTAATTTTAATTTTGGAAAATAAGAATTTTCATATCAGCACAAGTTTTTGTTTATTATTTTAAAAGTTCTGGAGCTTACAGAAAAATTGCAGTTATACTATTGGAGATTTACTGGATGTTGTTCAAATGAGTGAAGCAGAATTACAGAAAGCTCTCAAGCGCATGCCTGTGATAATTTTAAATGGTGTGTTGATCGAATGATTCTTGTTGTGCTGAAAAAATTCGGCAGTTGACGAATGATTGTAAAAAACAACGTCGGAATATATGTGCTGCTATTCAACATCCTTATTCTTCGGTATAGCATCCATAGTATCCTGTCAATTTTTACAGGATATGTGCGGATGTTGTCGGCAGAATTCCTTGATCGTCTTGTAACCGTGTTCGTGGATTGCTTGGATGACGATGAAGAACCAGGCATTATTCTCGATTCTGTTGGACCGGAATGTTTGAAAGAAGCTTTGAAAAAGCATCTGCCGGACAAAAATATTCCTGTTGAAGCAATTAATTGGCTAATTGAAACATACTGCGATGTTATTAATGGTATTAAAACTTTACAAATTTCATTAGTAACTGTTAATTCGTTATAGTTACTAGATTTTTCTTTTCGGCAATCTAAATTTTCTAATCATTTTTGCTACAATATAATCTAAATTTTCCAATCATTTTTGCTACAATACTCATTCTGATGAAAATATGATCCGAATGGCCATACATCAATTTCCCGATATAATCTATACATCAGATTGTTTGTATTAATGCATCCGACAGCTAATTTTTTTGCAGTTAAACATGTGAAACATCATCTTCTAACATTCTTAAATATAAAGGAGCAAGAAAATTCATGACAGTATTTTGGCCTTGGATTTCAGAAAATGGGATAGAGACGTATCATATCAACGAAAAAGCAATTTGTCGGACAAAGATTTCACAACTCCTTCGTGCAGCTGTGAAATTTGATTATGATAATTTCGAAAAAACTCTGCAACAAATTTTGCCAATTGGTGTTGAGTTCAAGGTAATTTTACATCTGTTATTCTTTTTGTAAATTTTGGCAATTTCGATTATCAATTTGACTTTCTCAAATCTTTGAATCGGTATTAAATGAAAGTCCGCAAAATGTTTGCCCTTCAAGTTACAATGGAATAATAGTCAAGTAATGAAATCGAACTGCCAAATCAGGTTCAGTGCTTCTACTGCAACCGTCGAATGAATGAATCGAATAATCTCCATTTTAGATCAGCCCTTTATTATCTTATTTGGATTTCAGGAGGAATATCTAGAAGGGCTTGCATTCATTGATGATGAACTGGCAACTGGAAAAACTATTCGTTATTTGAACGTTGAAGATTTGCCGGAAGAACCGGTTAAAAGGTTAGCATATTTGATTTGCAGCAGCTTGTTAAACCATTTGTTTTCAAACTGATGTGTAGTGGATGAATTGAGACTGTACTTATTTGCTTAAAGTACACTAAACCTATTATGTTCACGACTTCATTACCTGTGGAGGAAGAGATTGATTGTTAATTCTAGAATTCAATCAGATTTTTTTCATGGATTCTACATCTAGCTAAATTTTTTGAATTGAGCTTCAAATGTCTTAAAAAGGAAAAGTCATTATGCTAATGTAGTCACAAATTCTTTCATGTTTTATGTTCGAAAACTGTCTTTTTATCATGCTAACTTTCTAATTGAAATAAGTTTCTGCAGATTGGAATTACTGTTTTCCCTTCGACAATCATGGGAAGAATCGACTATACAGCAATATTTGAGTGATCTGTGTCCCACAAAACGACATTTAAATGAACTTTTAATCAACTGTTGCCGACAGGCAACTACCGTAAATGGTGAAAAGGTGCTAGTCGGCTTAAAAGAAATGTTGTTGTAATTTTGAAACATGCAACAATTGCTCAAAAGTCGTTCTCACTTTTTCGTTACTTTCTTGTACATATTTCCTAATCTCGTAATTTTTGTCAAAGTTTTGTAAATAAAATGATGATCAGAGCTTATGCGATCGTTCCATTTACAAATATTAGTTGATTATTATTCAAATTCTCCCAGCTAAAATCAATTTCTATGTAGATCAAATTTATGGTTATAAAAGACAAATCTGCCATAATGTTTTAACTACCATAGACTAATGTGCCGTTCGATTTTTTAGTTGCTTTAGACAACCATTTGCAACTCAACAAATTGTTCTAGAATGAAAGTATTATTAAGTATTTCGAAGACATATAGGATTAAAAATATCTCTTTCCATGCTTTATCTATGGTAATGTTACCAATGCGGGACTTATCAAAATTCTTTCACTTTTAACTTATTTCTAATTCTCACATAAAGTAGGTATTTTAAAATTGCACTTCGTATATGATGCCTGAAACCAAGAACTCAAACTAATTAATTTCATTTGGGAAAATTGATTATCTCTGTTCCAATGTCTTATCATAAGTAATTTGTGAGTGGCTGACAAAAAAGAAAATCCAGGAAATTAATTACCCAGAAATGAATTTTTTTTGTTTGCAAATGTAATCTTAACTAATTATAATATGATTATTTATTGTAAGAAAGGATATGTTTTATTGAATAATTAATTATTTTATTATTTTCATTAATCAATGGAAAAAAGGGATTTATTGTAAGAGAAGAAAAATATTTTGTATAAAACAATGTAACCTAATTATTATAAATTCTTTGTACTGGTCTGAACAATGTGTTTATCACCATTATCTTCTATTGAACCGCTCTTTCTTTTCTGTACTCTTAATTATTATTTCATTTGTAATTAAATTGATTAATACGGATTGTCATTTTGTTATCTTTCGGAAATTATTTTCTAATCATTTCATAAATTTTTTCCTCACCAATGAATGATTTTCAAATACTCCCAACCATTTTATACAATTTTTTTCAGATTTTTTTCTTATTTTAAATTTGAAATGTATATATGACGTAGTAGAACGTACGTACTCGATATGTTCACATGATTTTTGTTCTAATGCTTTGGATCTTGGTGAGCCAACGTTTGTATCACTGAAATTAAATAATATTTTGGAATCAATTAGAAAATGAATGTATAAACATAGAAGTGATAGATTTTTTTTTTTAATTAGGAGAAAAATTGATTATCTAGTTTTCCAATACAGTAAACTAAAATAGAATAGAATAAAGGAAATAAAATAGAATAGAATAAAGGAAATAGTGTTCAAATGATGATATTTAAATATGCTAGATATTCAGTCATATATATTTTATTATCATCAAAAGCATCATAATGAGCTTTAGTTTCGGTTGTTAATTCTTTTTTTTTTTTGCTTTCTGGAAATTCAGAACCTTGTATGAAAAAAATTGGTATTACTTAGAGATTATAAAAACTTAAAAGTTATTTTATTATATTTCGAATTATTTCAAAAGTTTCCAGCTAAAAGTTTGCATCATTTCAATGAGTTGTAATCTTGAAATATTTCGTACTCGATTATTGTATCATAATTATTAATTATTAAGATAATTTCTTATTTTTCTTAATTCTGATATTTATTGCATTGTATTACTTGATCATTTGTTATTACTGTTAATCATCGCAAAATTACTTTGATACTGCTATGCAAATCAAGCGTATCTTTTCTACTGTATATGCTTACTGCTATGCAAATCAAGCGTATCTTTTCTATTGTATATTCAATAATAATTACTGATAATTACTGTAATTTTTCAATAATAATAATTTCAATAATAATTACTGTAATTACGTTATCGTATTGGTCATTGCAACATTACCATATTTGCATTATTTATTTTCAATTTTAAATTTTAAAGATGAAACAATGAAATAAATGTTTGAATGCAGTTAATTGTAAAATGAAATTAATTTTTTTTTACTCAATATACGTTTTTTTGCCAACTTTTCGCATTCCATAAGCTGATGTATGCGGTATATTTGAATTCTCCATACTTAATTCGCTTTCTTGGAATGAATGTGACCAGAATGATTCATCTTGAAGTGACAAATGCATTTATTGAATTGAATTTCAGCTACTTAATTCAAATTAATGAAATTTTTAATTCGAAATACTTCACTTTTGGGGATTTCATTTATTCACTTTTTTTTTTTAAAATAAGACTTGAGATTTTGGGATTAAGTAAAAACTTTAAAAACGATCATTTCTACATTCCAATCCATTAATTTCATCCCATCTGATAAATATCTAACCATCTTATCATGATAAAACTCTAGTCACAAATGATTAGACTAAAAAGTATAATTATTATTATCAATTCATATTTTATTATTATATATAAATTTGTATGCATTTACCGTCATTTATTTGTTTCCGATGAGATTGTATTACTTTTGGATAAGCTGAAAATTCTTCAATTAATTTAAAGTTTTTGCGAGAAGAAAAGCATTCTCACTTTTTATTTTTCAAATTCTTTTATACCTAAATTACGAAAATCCTCAGCTATGCAACTATCCAATTAAGAGAGTCCAGCTGTTTCACAATATTTGATTAAAATAAATTCGATAAATGATTTCATGTGTCTATTTAAGAACACAATTTTCCCCAAATACTAATTTTAGAATACAATCCTTAGGAACAAAATTGCATCTCTGGTATTCATTAACATTTTTTTCAATGAATTTTCATTTTTTCCTATTCAATTTTGCAAGAATTAAAATTTTCGCTAATCACAGAACTTTTCGAATAATTCAGTAATTGATAAAAAGTGATAACAAATTTTTTGCTGTGAATGTAGACCGATGTGCGGTCAAAAAATCTAGGAATAACTGTTTTAATGATTTCTAAAATCCACTTTTATTTTAAATTGAACTATTTTACAAATTTCTAGAAACAAAAGGATACCATTTTGGCAGCAGGCTGAATAGTTAT